CCCCCCCCCCCCGCCCCCCCCCCGCACTTCCAATGTCCAGGGAGGCTCCCATTGTCTCACACACAACCATCCAGACTTGAAGCTCGGACAAGGATGGTAAATGCACTGGGTGCTCTAGGAAACTGGGAAGGTTGGCCAGGGCTGTGCTTTGGATTGTTTTGTCTTGGGTCACGTGTAATATTTACCAGTGGGAGCTGGTAAAAGCATCTTCCTGACAAGGTGAGTTCTGGGAGGGACTCAGACAAAGCTGCCTTCATGGCCCTTCATGACTATTTTGAACTTTGGGATGGGGCATGGTGGGACCAGCAGAGGGCGCATTTGTATCGGCCAAACGCTGAGGTTCTACATTGGCGGCATTTTCCCATTTTGGTTAGAATTGCAAATCTGTCCATTTTGGGATGTGGGCCATAGAAGAGTTTTTTTTTTTCTCCTAGTAAAATAACGGAATATTTAGGAAGTATTTGAACAAATAAAGGCAGGACTTTGAATAATAACTTACAATGTTTAACTGCTTTTAAAAAACCTATGAACCGGGGGTAATGGCTCACGCCTGTAATCCCAGCAATTTGGGAGACTGAGATGGGAGGATTGCTTGAATCCAGGAGTTTGAGACCATCCTGGACAACACAGTGAGACTCCATTTCTACAAAAATAAACATTAAAAAATTAGCCAGGTGTGGTGCCTTGCACCTGTTGTCCCAGCTACTTAGGAGGCTGAGGCAGAAGGATCACCTGATCACCAGGAGTTTGAGGCGGTGAGCCATGATGATGTCACTGCACTCCAGCCTGGGTGACAGAGTGAGACTCCGACTCAAACAAACAAAACTTCCTTTCTTGTGTTGTGTCTATCTCTAGTTTCAGCTGCTTTTTGGTTTTGACGAATTTAGTTCTCAAGTTAGAAATGAGCTTTGCTTCCTGGAAGGTAAACAGAATTTTCAGAATCAGGGGGCGCCCGCTGTGCTTTGGGACTCCAGGGACTTCCTTGGGATTTCCAGGCTGGACTAGTGGGGAGGAAGCCAGAAACATTCTTAAGGGTCTACTCCTTCCCACTCCCTTCTCCATCAGGAAGGAGAACTTTGAAATACTTTCCAGGAGGGAAAACAGAGCAGTACCAAAGTGTGGAGCTCATCTCCCTGTGAGGAACCAGCAGAATATTCTGCGCCCAGTACGGTGGCTGCCTGGCAGTATCTGTGATTTGCAGGCCTCACACAGGCAGCTTGGGGGTAAGGAGCCCCCCATCCACAGCAAGGCTACCCTGGGCATGGTGTGGGTGGCCTCCTGGCTGCAGATCATAGGGAGTGGCACCCTTAATCTCTGGGGTGCTCATGTGGTCTCTCTGTGCCCTCCATGGTATTGCCACCACCAACCACTCCTCACTCCTTTGCACAGGTTGGGTGACTAGTATACTTGCGCCTTCTGGGCTGTTTAAATCTGGAAAGGCCTTCAAGGTGAGCTCAGAGATACTCAACTGAACTGAATGGAACCAGCTGCTCCGGAGTGCTGGGCAGACTCCACTTCCCTTTGTTTTACTAGTTGGCTGTGGCTGTGTAATTCTCTTGCCTTGTAGGCCTCAGGGTCCTTCATCCACAATATTTTATTTTATTTTTTTATTTTTATTTTTTGAGTTGGAATCTCACTCTGTCACCCAGACTGGAGTGCAGTGGCTGCTCCCGGCCACCGCAGCCTCAACCTGCTGGGCTCCAGAGATCCTTCCATCTCAGCCTTCCAAGTAGCTGGAACTATAGGCAGGCGCTACCACACCCGGCTCATTTTGATTTGTTGTAGAGATGAGGTCTCGCCAAGTTGCCCAGGCGGGTCTCAAACCCCTCGGGCTCAGGCAATTCACTCACCTCAGCCTCCCAAAGGCATGGGATTACAGGCTGAGCCACTGAGCCCGGCCTTCATCCACAATATAAAGGAACTTCTGTGAGACCCTAAACAACCTCCGAGATTCATGCTGGCTTAAGAAAAGTGTTGCCACAATCACATGGCGTTTCCCTGACTTTGTAACTATTTCCTGATCAGACACGTGTGGACGGCGTTTCAGTGCCTGAAGATCCATGGGCCTTGCAGTCAGAGAAACCTGGGTTCATCGCTCAGCTCTTCCATTTATTGGCTGTGTGACCTTGAACAAGTGACCTGACCTCCCTGAGCCTCGTTCTCATCTGTGAAATAGGGAGCATGCCCTTGGCCTCCCATGGTCAATGTGAGGATGAGAGAAGGATGGACACAGAGCCCCCGGCGTCGCATCCTGCTTCCTGGTAAGAACCAAAAACGACCTCCCGCTTCTCTATCCCTCAAGTGACGCTGCTTGGAAAAGTAACACGGCCTTAACTTAAAAAGCCCAAATTGCTGGAGTGGCCCTCTGGGGGCTTGCCTGCCCCTCTCCCCAGGGCTCAAGCTTGCTTTTCAGATCTCAGTCAGGGGTCCCAGCGTGTGGCCACATCACAAGCTGCCTCAGAGAGAAAGAAAGGACGAAAGGAGGAGACACGGCAGGAGGGATCCGCCTGGGGTCTCAGCTCCTTGAGGACCGGTGACCTCCACTGGAGAGGCCTGGCCAGGAGCCTCCCACCGGGGCACAGAGGCGGGGCCACTGAAGTCGCAGCTGCTGCCCCGGCTGGAGAGGTGCCTGGACTGCTGGGCCATGCTGTCCTCACCCCCGCTTGGGCCACACTTTGTTTTTTTCTCTTTGAAAAACCTGCCTGAAGACTTTCCATTCGGATTTCCCTACCTGGGGTGTGTGTGTGGAGCCTTTCTTTAAGCCCCTTGCCCCCTGACCTCGCTGCCTCCTCTAGGGCTGCATAGGCGCACCCCAGGCGGGCAGGCCCTCTTCTTGCTGGCTGCTGACAACCAGAATTCATGCAGCAGACAAGAGTCAGGGGAGGTCATTCAGACCCAGAGCCTCACCAGCCTAGCTCCGTGACCAAGGACATGTTACTTCACCTCTCTGTGCCTCAATGGTCTCATCATTTAACAAGGGCTTTTTCTTTAGGGGGTCATTATAAAAGTGAAATGGGACCTTTTATAGAATCTGTGTAGCCTGGTGCCTGGCACAGTGGGTATGAGCTGCTGCCCCTGTTCTGAGATCCTCATCGAAAATGGATGAATGTACTCTGGGCTCAGTAAACTCTTTCCTTCATGTCAGCTACCACCTCCTCCAGGAGCCCCTCCTTGATGTCTTCTATGTCTCCTGCCCTGGTCTGAATCGGTTGTCCTGTCTGTATTCTCTTAGAGGACTGATCACACCACGCACACATCTGACTTGAAATGAGCATTTCTCACTCAGCACTGGCAAACACCTTCTTTAGTCTTCCCCAGTGGTATTCCACTACATGAAAGATGGTCTGAATAACCTTTGGGAAACCCGGCCGGAGTCTGCCCTTCTGTCATGAGACAGGAAGTCCGTCTTGACTGGCATGGTCACTACTTAGATTTGCTGCCTAAAGCCTCCGTTGCACTTGGCCAAGACCTTGGAGCCTGTCAGTGTTCACATTCTGCATACGTAATTTATGATATGGAAAGTCTGAAGACTGGAGCCGTTTCCCTGGCTAGTGTCACTCAACTCTGCCTCGCGTTAGCAGAAACCTCTGTAAACTGATCAGTTTACCATAATATATTATTGTTGGATATCTGGAAACAAAGGTTTTTTTTTTTGTTTTTTGCTTTTGAGTTGAATAGGGTCTCACTCTGTCACCCAGGCTGGAGTGCTGGCATGATCATGGCTCACCAAGCTTCAACCTCCTGGGTTCATGCAATCCTGCCTTGGCCTCCTGGGTAGCTGGGAATATAGGCACCACCACAATGCCTGGCTAATTATCTGACTTTTTGCAGAGACAAGGTCTTGCTATGTTGCCTAGGCTGGTCTTGAACTCTTGAACTTCTCACCTCGGCTTTCCAAAGTGCTGGGATTACAGGCATGCGCTGGGAATACAGGCATGAACCACTGTGCCTGACTTCTTTTAAAATTAGTATAGAAATTAATGATTTTTGACCAAGATGTCAACTGAAAGAAATGGTAAAAGATATAAACAGAAAAAGATCAAGTTTAGGGTGGAATCCAAAACTTACAACTTTGTACACTTACCTCATGTATGCTTCTGGGCTCCCTCACCCCATGGGGCCCAGAGGAGACAGTGAGAGTCATGGTGGCACTTCCCAGACCGGGCAGCAGTGACCATGAGAGGGTATTTATTCATTGGGATATGCAAGTCAAGGTGAGTATTCATTAAGGGGCTATTTAATGTGAATTCATCTGTTCCTCAGGCAGCCTTATGGAGGGGTTGCAGGTTTTAGTCTCCGTTGACAGCTGAGGACACTGAGACACAGAGAAGTCCAACTCCCGAGCCATCTCTGACTCAGCACTCAGGCCTGCAGCTGCAACCTGTAGAGAGCACCTTCCTGTGAGTTAGTGAGTTAGCAGAAAGGCCGGGTAGGAAGAAGTCTCCCAGGGTGCTTGTGGCTCTGTGCTAGGTGCCTGTGACCCGCTGGGTGCTCGCAGCCCCATGCTGGGTGCTCGCAGTCCTATGCTGGGCGCTTGTGGCACAGTGCTGGGTGCCTGCAGCCCCATACTAGGTGCTTGTGCTGGGTGCTTGCAGCTGGTGCTGGGTGCCTGGTTTAGGCAGCAGAGCACGGGCTGAATTTCAGCCCCATGGGCTCCCCCTGCTGGGCGGTACAGCAAACACCAAGCACAGTCCTGTCTGGCTGCATCCTTCCTTGGGAATACAGGGGTGTCTCTCGCGTTTCCACTAAGCAACCAGGAAGCAACCAGGAAGCTGCCACTTGGGCCTAGCCTGCGGCAGCACCGGTAGTATGCCCAGGGGCCCCCAGGAAAGAGTTCAGGGTCTAGTTCAGGGCCAGGAGATGTGAACTATGCCAAGAAGCCCAGTGGTTCTGGGTCCTGTTTTTCCTAGAACCCACTGCCACAGTGTCATTTTTGTAGGAAGCCACAATAAAGTAGCTCTGGCCACCAGAGCTGTAGGCGACAAGGCTGGGTTTCTAAAGGGGATAATATCCCTCTGTTGGAGTATTGTCCTGCTAGGCAGGGACCCTCAGCCCCCTCCTCTGTATATCCAAGCCCCCCATGGAAGCAGGAGGAACAGAGAGGAGGACGTGCCTGTGGGCCTTTTCGTGAGGCCCCCAACGTCTCCACTGTCACATCAATCTGCAACCTCTGGTGGGAAAGAAACCTTTCCCAAAGTCCAGGGACATAAAGCACGTCATCACATGTGGCTGGTGACGCACTAATGCATCTGAGTCTGAACTTAGCACCATTGTCTATGTTCTGACTTCAACCTATGACCTGAGAGGAGGTGAAGGGGTCATTCCCTATGAACATCTCTTAACAGTGCAAAGTTCATCCGACAACTTGTTACAAGATGATAAAACCCAGTCCCGCCGTCTCTACCTTGGCTGCCTTGGTGACTATCTCCGAGGGGTCTCCCTGGTTCTTCAGGGCACTCCAGGGCCTCTCCACTTTCCTGCTGGGTTCACACATGACAGAGAATACAGAAGACAATATAAGTGCAAACCCTCCTTTGTGACCCGTGTCCTTTGGTAAAAGGGAATCCAGTTTTCTGAGTGGTTTCTTTTTCCTCTTTGCCACCTTGTTTTAACTTAAGTCTCCAAGAAGGCTGGTGTTCCTGGTGTGAACAGGCAGGGCTAGGCACGGTGGCATGCACCTATTGTCCCGGATACTTGGGAGGCTGAGGCAGGAGGATCCCTTGAGGCCAGGAATTCCCAGGAGTTGGAGTCTAGCCTGGGCAAATAGCAAGACCCTGCCGCAAAATAAAACAAAACAAAAGAAAAAAGAAAAAGAAAAACACGCAAAACAAAACAGCAACAAGAAAAACCAAAAAGAGCCAGGGCCAGGCCAGCTTGGTAGCAATAGCATTGAGTGCTGTTAGGTTCCTAGTTATACTCATTTGATAGGGTCTTGCCCTTCCCCTTCTAGTTTCTCTTCCCCTTCCCCTCCCCTTCTTCTCCCCTTCCCCTCCCTCCCTCCCTTCCTCCTTTCTTTCTTTCTTTCTTTCTTTCTTTCTTTCTTTCTTTCTTTCTTTCTTTCTTTCTTTCTTTCCTTCTTTCTTTCTCTTTCTCTCTCTCTTTCTTTCTTTCTCCCTTCTCTTTCTTCTCTATCTATCTATCTATCTATCTATCTATCTATCTATCTATCTACCTAATCTATCATCTATCTATCTTGCCAGAGTTTCACTGGAAACTTGCCCAGACTGGAGTGCTGTGGCAAGATCACCACTCACTCAGCCTCGACCTCATGGGCTCAGGTGATCCTTCCACCCCAGCCTCCTGAATAGCTGATGCTACAGGCAGGCAGCACCACTTCTGGCTAATTTTTAAATTTATTTTTATAGGGACAAGGTCTCGCCATGTTGCCCAGGCTGATCTCGAACTCCTGGGCTCAAGCAATTCTCCCATCTTGGCCTCCTGAAATGCTGGAATTGCAAGCATGAACCACCGTGCCCGGCCTTTGTCCCTTTCATCTGTGCAGTGTTCCGTTCCTGGCAGATGTGTTGACTGAAGGAAGCAGGTGCCTTCAGGACCTGAGGGAGGCCGGGCATGACTAGAGTGGAGACCAGGGAATGGGCGGAGTGGGAGGAATCAGACACGCATGACCTTGCAGACAGGTTAGGGCCTGTGGTCTCTGTCTTGGGGACAAAAGGAGCATGGAGGACTTACAGCAGGCAGCCACAGGATCAGACTGGCCTTGTGGCCTTTCTGGGATGACCCTGGATTGGGGTTCTTATCGCGCTTTATCCCTGCTTCCTTCCTTCCCTGAGTCAGGCGGGCTGCTTGAAGTCCCTTCGCACAGAAGCCTCCCTGCCAGTGGCTCCGGCCCTGGCTGCGCATTACAGTGGCTTAGAGGCTTCTAGGTGGTTCCCACCTGCAGCCAGGTGAGATGCTTTGCTCTCTAGTGTGTGGGAGAGCAGTTCTGTAGTGCTGGGGACAGGGCAGGTGGAGCCCGGGTGGCTGATGAGGCCCGCGTTGGCCTTGTCACCTGGGTCCCTGCTCCTGTAGTCTACAGCCTCATTTTGACCACGGAGCTGGAATCTGATGTGAAGGATCCTGGGAGTCTCTCCTGTTAACGCTCACCCTTTAGTGACAATCGACTTTCCACTTTCTCATCAAAGACACAGCTGCTCTAGGAGGAGACAGTGAACTGCCTGCTACTTTGGCCATCTCTTGAGTCCCCGCTGTGGTTCCTCACTTGGTGATTTTTGCCTCATGTATCTTTTAGTTGTTAGCTTAGTGTTTGTAGCTGATGAGATATGCTGACATAAAAAAGCTAATGCGGCTGGGTATGGTGGTTCACACCTGTAATCCTAACACTTTGGGAGGCTGAGGTGAGAGGATTGCCTAAACCCACGGGTTCAAGACTAGACCCGGCAACTTGACGAGACCTCATCTCTACAATAAACCAAAAATCAGCCGGGCGTGATAGCGCGTGCCTGTAGTTCCAGCTACTTGGAAGGCTGAGGCGGAAGGATTGCCGGATCCCAGCAGGTTGACGCTGGGGTGGCCATGAGTGTGCCACTGCACTCCAGCCTGGGCGACAGAGTGAGACTCCAACTAAAAAAAAAAAAAAAAAAGAAACAGTCTTAATTGGAAACTGTCCATTTCATGTTGCTTAGAAAAGTGTCAAAAAAGCAATCAAGTTTTAGATATATAAATATACCTGTGAAATAACTTATACCTAACGTCATTCATTTCAAGAGATTGGAAACAACCTAAATGTCCCATCAACTGGGGACTTGTGAAGTAAATTATGGTTAGTTTATATGATGGAATACTATGCAACAATTGAACAAGGCATCTCTATGAATCAACACAAAAAGAACTGCAAGATATACTAAATAAAAGATAAGACTGAACAATGTATAAAATATGCTAAAACTTGCATAAACTATTTCTGTGTGTCTGTATTTGCTTGTATGAGGGGGCCCCTTCAAAACTTGGAATTATCTTCTAGAGGTCAAGCCCTTTGTAGTACAAGCTTCCCCTGCTAGTTAAATGTTCTAGGACTCCATTGGCATCAGTGTGCCAGCTAGTGTTGTTGTGAGAGATAATTTACAGAAGAAATGTCCTGAGGTGTGGCAAACAGGTGACTGGTTCTTCCACCATGACAACGCACCTACCCACACTGCACTGAGTGTCCAGCAGTTTTTGACCCAAAACAGCATGACCCCGGTGCCACACTCTCCCTATTCACCTGATCTCACACCGAGCGACTTTTTTGTTTCTCTGGATGAAAAATTCCTCCTAGGGAAACGTTTTGCTGATAAGGAAGAGGTGAAACAAAAAACAGCAGAAGCACTAAAAGACATCAAAACAGATGAATTCAAAAACGATTTTAAGCATTGGAAAGAGTGTCTTGATAGGTGTGTTGCATCAAATGGAGAGTACTTTGAAGGTGACTGAAATGTAAACATGTAAGAATAAATACACAAGCTTGAATAAATTCTGGGTTTTTGGGGGTCCCTCCTCGTATATGCATTATACCTCTCAGGAAGAATCACAGGGAACTAGCAACAGAAAAGGGAAAAGACCTGAAGTGCTGTTTTAGATTTACATTTTATTTTTATTTATTTTTGAGTCAGGATCTCACTCTGTCACCCAGGCTATAGTGCAGTGGCACGATCACAGCTCATCATAGCCTTGAATTCCTGGGCTCAAGTGATCCTCCTGTCTCAGCCTCCTGAGCAGCTGGGAATACAGGCATGTGCCACCATGCTGGGCTAATTTTTTTATTTTTTGTAAAGATGAGGTCTGGTTATGTTAGTTACCTCAAGCAGTCCTCCCACCTTGGCCTCCCAAAGTGCTGGGATTACAGGTGTGAGCCACTGTGCCCGGTCTATACTTACATTTTAAAAAACTTTCCGAGTATATTTCAGATTCAAAATTTGAATAAAAAAATAAACACAAATAAACCGCTACATCACTTTCAATATGCCTTCCAGACACAATGGCTAAACATCGTGATGGAAACACAGGAACTAGTACTCGGTGAATGAGCAAAGCAAGTAAAAAGATGACGGGTATTAAACCTGGCTCTGCTGCTCTGCCCGAGTCATTTGCTCCTGTGTTTGTTCAGCTAATGAGCACTTACTGAGCATCTGCTGTGTGCCCAGTACTGTGCTAGACCTTGGGGGCAACGAGATGAGAGTTCTCTTCACAGGACACACAGTGACTCATGGGGAAGCAGGTCAGTTTGCACTGCAGTGTGACAAATATTGCGGCAGATTATGACAGATTTCTGCGGGGCCTCCTGGGAGGGTGGGAGGCTAAATTAGGCTGGGAGGGTTTGTTTACCAGTAGACAGAGCTAAATCTTGCAGGGAAGGGAAGGCAGGACACTTCCAGGCAGAAGAAGCGGCTGGTTGGGGGGTGCGGGGGCAGCGTGTGGACCGGGCCAATTAGACACTGGCCAGATCTGGCATGCTGCAATGTGGAGTTTTTCTTTTTAAATTGCGTTTGTTATATTTTTCTATTTGTAAAAGAAATATAGCTTTGATGCTGGAAATTTAACCAGAAAGCCAATGGGGACAGCAAGGAATTTCAAGCAAACCAGTGATAAGATGGAGCTGTATTTAGAAGCACATTGCAGCACTGTGGTATCATGGGACGCAGTGCGGGGAGTCACAGATGCTTTGTGACACAAACTGCAGCCTTGAAACCAGCCTGTGGGAGTCAGTTCCCCGAGGGGCCGGGTATTGCTCCTGGAGCCAGACGGCTTGCACGGAAGTCCTAACTCCTACCCTTCTTGTCTCTCAGACCAAGGGAGTGACCTAAGCCCTGAGCCTCAGTTCAGCTGTGAGCCGACAGGCGCTGGACAAGTGATCTTAAGTCCTCATCGGTCTGTGAAGAACCTTCTGGCAGTTCTGCCCTCCACCCTCATGCCTAGCCCCCAGGCTGAGATGGTACTTCTGGGCTTACAGCTGGCTTTCAAGAGAACTGCTGGGAGGGAGAACCAAGGAGCGGGGGAAGCAGGAGTCAGAAAGGGGGTCCGGCCTGCCCCAAGCTACTGCATGACTAATCATTGAACCTCAGCTTCTCCATCTGTGAAATGAGAGTGATAATATAGTATAGAATTCTTTTTTTTTTTTTTGAGACAGGGTCTTGCTCTGTTGCTTAGGCTGGAGTGCAGTGGCACGATCATAACTCACTGCAGCCTCAGCCTCTGGGATCAAGCAATCTCTTGCCTCAGTCTCCCAAGTAGTTTGAACTTCAGACCTGCACCACCACACCCAGCTAACTTTTTAATTTTTTTGTAGAGTCAAGGTCTTGCTATGTTCCCCAGGTTGGTCTTGAACTACCGGGCTCGAGAGATTCTCCAGCCTCGGCCTTCCAAAGTGCTGGGATTATAAGTTTGAGCCACTGTGCCCAGCCTGTACTGTTTTTGAAAGACTTAACCAGGAAAATACACTTGGAAATTCCATGTAACACATCGTGTGATACGCAAATATAAA